CCCCCAACCATTACCACATGTAAAATTGGTTCTAGAACTTTATAGGGATTAATTTCCAAAATGCATAAGGAACTCCTACAACTCAATAGCAAAAAACAAACAAACTAATAATAAAAAATGGGCTAAGGACTTGAATAGATATCCATATATATTTTTAAATGTGCAAAGTATATGTGAGATATCTCACTCAGCTGCATCTTAAATAGATACGGGATTTCCTGGCATCTCAGTGTTGTTTTGATAGTATTCCCAAGTATAATGTTCTCCAAGTGTAACGAAGTTAAGAAGTGATGCCTCGTCTCCACCTGGCCCACTGACTTCTCCTACCTCTTTTCTCCAAAAGAATGCACCTGGCGTTTACAGACCCAGGAGTCCTGAGTACAAACTGCCCAAGTGTTTGGTCACTCTGCAGTAAAGTATGGCCCTAAAAGGATCAATTGAGGATAGAATATAATTTTTTAAGAGTTTTATTTTTAAATGTTTATGTTTTTCTGCTATGCATGCCTCCACTCTGGGGCATAATTCAGGGGGAACAGAGAGGAAAGAAAAGCAGTTGAAGGCAGATAAAAAGATCACCTATCAACTCTGTAGGGCCATTCCAGTTCCAGAGCTCCCTGTGGGGTCTGTTAAGGCCTCAGGTACAACTGCAATGACATCACACTTCATCATTCTCTCTCTTCCCAACCCAGCTTATTTCTCTCCTTTTAAATCAGAGCCCTCCCCTAAACCTGCTGCATGCAAATCTACACCCCAAAGTCTGTTTCCTAGGGGAACAAACTTAGGATAAAAGGGAACTAGGAATCCAAAACCGGCTGCCCAGAAGTTCTCGCCCAGAACTGGGAAAGTTCCATCATTGAAAAGGCCCCTGACTCCTGCCCAATGTACACAATGGGTTATTTGCTAAACTGGTGGGGAGAAAAGTCGCATACAGAACCAGTTTCTCCCTTGGACAGGAAGACAGATCAAGGCTAAAGAGTTCCAAGAGCTAAGACTGACTAACATATCAGTTTACCTAGTGTAATTAATAACTAATGATCACTTGATGGCTTTGTTATTTTAATGCAAATTTATAACAGTATAGGAAAAATAAGTGCTTCAGATCCCCTTCTGTTATGTGAGAATAAGCCTGGCTGTTTGGACCATGAAGTTGTAAGTCACACTCTTCTATGCAACTAGTTGTCGCATGAATCTAAGTCATAGATCCAAGGGGAGAATTTTATTATAATTTCTGGTTTTGCCAGTCGAAACCCATGAAGTTACAATTTCAAAATACCGGACTCCTTAAGTCTAAGTGTCTCTGCCATTATCTCCACAACATGGTCCCGCATCCCTACTATCCCCCAACACCAAGTTCACGTCTCCCTCCCTTCCTTCCATCCCACTGTTCATGGTGCCATTGTCACCCTCACGCCCCACACCCTGCCCACCTTCGCAAGGTCTCATGCTCTCCCAGGAAGCTTTCCTTGTTTAGGTCCATCTCGGGTGATCCCTTCCCACCTAATTCCTGTTGCCTGATTCTCTACAATGTGTCTCATCTGCTTTGTACTCCGTACTGTTTAGCACAGGGCTAGGCACATGTAGCTGCTCCATGAATGCTAATAATTTAACAGCTTTATTAATATATAATTCACACACCCTAAAGTTCGCCTGTTTTAAGTATATGATTCAGTGATTTTGAGTAAATCACATAGTTGCGCGGTCATTAGCACAATCCAATTTTAGACCATTTCATCACCCCCAAAAGATCTCTTGTGCCCACATGCAGTTACTCCCCATGCTCATCCCTGGGCCCAGACGACCACTCCTCTACTTTTGGTCTCTTTAGATTGCAAGAACTATTTTTTAAGCGCCTGGTCTGGAGCCTCTTTACATTTTCTAATGGTCACCATCACGTACTATTTGACAAATAATCTAAGGTAGACATTTCAATTAGACATCGTTAAAATAAATGGCATTGAATCCTTCCTCCTCACTACCAAACTGATCGAATCTACTACTTATTACAATCTAAAAGGTGTCATTTATAGTTAAAAATCTAAATGCTTAGATTTATTTAAAACTCAATGTTCTTGATTCAGCTGGCTTTGGATTTGAAAGTGCAAAACAGGAAGAGGGAGTTGGGGTGAAAAGACTACATGATGGCACCCTGAGGGCATCCAAGCAAGTCAGTCCACGGGTAGAAATTAACTCGGTCAGACAAGCATCCTTTCCTGCACTTTCTGTCTTGAACCCAAGGGACAAGGGCTTCTCCTGAGGACAATTACAAAGGCCAGCCCCCGGAAGATGCTTCCTGAGTAAGTCGAACACGAGGCAAGGCGCACAGCTCTGATTCGCGTTACTCATATTCAGCTCAGCAGGTCATCCCTTGTGTCTCCTGATCTCCTAAATATTAAGCAACTTTTAAAAGATACATTTAAGCTGCGGCCATTTGATTGCCTGTCTCCTGAGCAGTAAAGGCAAAGTTACTTCCTGCCCTGCTTTTCACAGATGGATGGCACATGGAAGAGTTCATAATAATTTATTTAGAACTATCTTAATGAAGATGAGAACATTGGGACACTACAACGTGCACTGAGAGAAGATGTAGTTGTGGCTTTTATTTTATGATGCCCAAACAAATCCTAACAAAGTAGTTATGAAGCAAATGTCTGACGCGTGAGTTCCTGGGCCAGGCGGACCTGAACCCGAGCCCTCCGTTTGCTCATGTGGTCGGGAGGCAGCAGCTCTTTCGGCATCGGCAGGTCAGCGGATACTACTTTTTCCAGGATTCTGTGAATTTAGCCCTGAAAATACTGATATTTAAACCACAGTTCCAAAATGTCACATCTCTATCTCCGCTCCCTAAATTCAACGAACGAGTGCTTTAAGTACCAAGGTTAACTCAGCTGTATAACCTCAACTCTCTTTTATATTTGAATGCCAGAACTAGAAAGATTTTAGAAAGCCATTCATGTCCATTTCCAAAAATTAGACGCTTTTTATTGTAAAACAAAAATAAAACAAAATAATCGTAAGGAAATATCTGCACATAGCGTATTATTTTGTGGTGCAATAATGCAATCCATGTGAAGGTACTGTGCCACGATCATCATCGCTAATTACATGAGGATATTTCAGATTTTGTTTATCATGATAATTTTCAACATCATGAGTCAAAGAATCCCAGTGGGACCAAGTGATTGGCCAGGGCCACCACCTGCGTCTGACGATATTTTGTTTCCACAAAGCCAATCCATCTGCTAATTAACGTTCAGGAAGCAAGCCTTTCTGCAACACTTCTAAATAAGAGAATTATTTCTTCTAATATCTTCTATGGCAGAAATTCAAATATTAAGAAAATCTGTGTATTTATTGAGCCACTTATTTTATTAAGTAACCAAAATCATTAGCAAATGCTTTCTGCTTGGGTCTGTATATTAAAACGGTATTTAAAATTTAACAAAATCAACACTGGGATTGGCACCACTAAAATACAAGCTTTTCAACTGGAAAAATACCGTAATTAAGCTTTTAAAAATATAGGTACAGTATATATTTTACTATTTTACAATTAAAATACCATTGTGCCCATTAAAACAATTATTTTTTACTCTGAGTGCACCCTAAAAAACCCAAATATAACTATTACAAACCCTCACAGAACATTTACTTCATTTAAATGAGGAATATTTTAAAACTTTCTTAAGTTTTCATTGGCCTCAGAAACCAATTATGTATATTCATTAATGGAGAATATTCCCATATGTTTCTTTGGGATCAAATGAAGTCAACTGGTAATAAAAAGTCTGAAATAAGGAGATAGAATTCCATAGAAGAGAGAGACTTGTGATTGACTACTCTCACCTATGAAATATAAATAAACAGATTTACACTATTTTCAGTTAAAACATAAATTTACTGCGAAACTTTTAAAATTAGGACAGTTACTCCTGTGTTAATTTAGTCTTTAAATAAATTTAATGCACTGAATTTCTGGAGCCAAGTGCTACTTGCAATTTGTGATGGAAGGCACTTTCCCGTTCTTTCTGAACTGGCCAGTTCAAGATGCAGTGAGATTTAAACATTCCCCTTCGCAAACAGAGTGCATGGTTTAGTTTATAATCTGGAATCTCTTCAAGAAAGATCAAGATAATGGAGTCCAGGTTCTGTTCAATAGCTTTCTGAAGTGCCTGGTGCACCTTGAATCTAAGTAAAAAAAACAAACAAAAAATCGAATTAAGTTATATGTCAATATATAGTTTTTAATGGCCAAAAAACTCTAAAATCTAGAAATCCCCCTTAGAATTTACTTTAGTCTGTCACTAAAAATCAGGTTATATTTTTTTCTTAATTCTATTTTTAAATTCTTTGAGTTGTGAGTAAAATGTTGGTAACATTTAAAAGCTCAACTAAAAAACAAGTATACACTTCAAATGTCACAACGCTCACCTACCTTTTGCATAATGGATCTTTTAATAGATGCTGTGTTATAACAAAAATAGTTTTTCTGCTCCTTTTGATGCTGTTAACAATTGCTTCAAGTTCAAGAACACCTGCCTGAAAATCCCTCTCTTCCAGGCAAAATCTGAGCGTCTGATCCTCTTGTTCCATGGGGGAGAAGTTCTCCCAGACCCAGTCCCTGTCTTCATAGGCATGAATTATATATGCTGCATAGTCAAACTGCTCTGGCTGCCTGTCCATTTCTTTGAAACCAAGAGCTCGATGCACTAAAACATTCCAATAAAAAGATACCCTCCAGCCTTCAAAGTGGATCATCAGCACAGTGAAGACAAAAATCAACAGGATGCTGGTATTTATCATGAAAAGGAGCTCGAAGGGGGCACTGTCTTTGCAGGGTGAGATATCAAAAAGCATCACTGGGAAACCATGATATTGAGGTGGGGTGTTGCAGAGATAGTGGCTGGACAGCTCCGAGATGTTGGTAGGGGTGCTGTTGATCCAGTTAACAAACCAGGCAATGCTTTCACACGTGCAATCAAATGGATTGAAGCGCATATCTAAACTACTCAGGTTCTTGAAAGCTGGCCCGAAAACACTCTTCTCAACCGTCGTGATGAGATTCTTCTGAAGGCTCAATGACTTGAGAGACCCCTGATTGTCAAAGAGAGATGAAGGAAGTATGTTTAAATTATTCAATCCTAAATTGATGCTCTTTAACTGAAATAAGTCTTTGAAGGCGTCCGCTGGGATCTCGTCAAAGCCGTTAGACTCTAAATTAAGGATGTAGAGGTGAGAAAGGCCCTTTAGGAATTGAACGGGACCACCAGGATTTGCATATTTCCAGAGCCGGGCTAAGTTGTTGTGCTGCATGTCCAGAATTTCCAGTTTCTCCAGGCCCTCCAACAGTTCATCGTTTATGTTGGCTATGTTGTTGTTGCTCAGATCCAGGATGGTCAAGTTCCGAAGAGGGCGAAAAGGGGAAGGGGAGCTATCCAAGTTTTTGAGGACCACCCTTCGGAGCATCAGTTGTTGAAGGCTCGGAACCAAGGCAAAAGAGTTGGTGGTCAGTTCTAGGTATTTGTTGTAGGAAAGGTAGATTTCAACAATGCTTCCTAGGCCTCGCCATTCCTCGCCTGTGAGTTCCTGCCCGATTTCATTAATGCCGAGGTCAAGTACCTTCAGGTGGCCAAGCCAAGAGAAAGCGCCACTCTCTATTTTCGAGATTTTATTTTTGGTGAGGTTGAGCATGACTAGAGGAGAGTGAGCCAGTGACACAAATGTTTCGTTCGTTAAAGTCTGCAAGCTGCTGAAGGAGTTGGATAGACTTAAGTACCGCAGCTGTGCCAGTCCCGTGAAAGTATCTCTTTTTGTGCCTGGGAAGTTGTTGTCGTCCAAGTTAAGATACTCCAAATGTGTTAGCCACTGGAAGGAAAAATCATCAATCTTGGGAAGCACAGCAAGGGAATGGCTTTGTTTAGTAAAACAGTGTCTCAAATTCAGGTATCTCACATTGAAAAGCCCGTAAAAGGAGCGAGGGAACAAACGCACTACACTATTATACTCCAGGAAGAGACGCTCCAGGTGAGAAAGCCACGCAAAGGAATCATTGCCAATCACACTTAAGCTGTTGTAGGAAAGATCGAGCATGGTGAGGTTCGTCTGCTTCAGTCCAGCGAAGGTCACATTGCTCGTCCTGGACAGCTGGGTGTTGCTCAGGGAGAGATTCTGAATGTGCGTGTTCGACAATTCCAGACAAAGGTTCTCGGTGAGACTGGGGCCCAGCTGGGCGTTGTTCAGAGAGAGGCCAAACAATTTTCCAATTGCATGAAAACACCCTGGAGAGAACTAGGGTGGAGGGAAAAAAGAGGTTAATAACCAAAAACACAGTCGAATTTGCATGACCGTTGCAGAGCTTAAACGCAATCCGTTACTCAACCCCCCTTCCGTTTTCACCACCTTCTCTGGGGTCTCTTTCCACCCCTCTGATACACAGCCCCTTACTCTGGGCCTGTAGCACCCATGCCCTGCTCCAGTCCCTCCCCTCCCCTGGCCACAGGCTAACTTCTCAGCATCCACGTTTCAGCCTCACTTAGGTGTCACTCCTTCTGGGGTCTTCCTTGACCTCTCAGTCTATTTTTATGTCTGAAAAGTAATATAGCTTCATAAAATCTGATTTAGTTTAGGATTTCCAGTATTCTTATTTTCAGCCTGGAAAGAATAAAATACAGACACATCTGTATGTGACAATAGTTAACAAATTGAAGGTCATGGATCCCAAAAGAGAAGGTTTAGTTAGGGCGTGCTCCATCACAGGGAGGGTTCATGATCATCTAATGCTAGTTCTTTACTGAGCACTTACATGCGCAACACTGTGCAACAGTCTTTCGCACACAGCCCCGTGGACTAACATTTATTATCGCACCCACTTTAACACTGGGGAGTCAGAGCAGAGGGAACCTGAATAATTCACCTGATTGCACAATTAATAAGAGGTAAAGCCCAGGTAAGGAGGCAACTAACTCAACTCTAAAGCCTGTGCTCTTAAACACCATGCTGGATTAATTCTTTCAGAGATTTATTATGATAGATGGAATTGCTTCTATTTTATATGTGAGGAAACTAAGACCCAGAGAGGTTACGTTTCCCGAGGTCAAAGTACTGGTCTGTAAGGAAGGAGGATTTTAACCCACGTCGGTTTGACAGCGGAGCCCCAGCTCCTAATTGCTACCCAACTCCCTTTCTTGTGACGATGACAGCAAAGGCCCAGTGGTCAGTGTGAAGGATTTAGGAAATCTACAGGGATTTTTAGACTCCTATCCACGTGACACAATTAGGGACTACTCACACTTAAAGGTAGAACACAAAGTAATTTTACCTCACTTCTTACCTCTTTAATTTGATTTGAAGACAAGTCTAATTTTTTTAAAGAAGAATTGCCAAGGAAATCAAGTTCTTCACGTCTTAGTACATGAATTTTATTATTCGATAATAGAAGCTCTTGGAGATTTTCCAGTTGGAGCTGAGTTCCTAATTTAGTAGACGATAAACCATTACGAGATAGATCTAATTTGATTAAATTCTGAGAGAGAGAAAATACGTGTATAAGTTAGAGTCTTGCAATCAAAAATAGTTCCTCTAAATGTATGTGAACCTTAGAAATAACAGCAAAATGTCACCTCTCTATAATTCTATAGAAAAATGACAGTAGGAGTACTAAAAACCTTTGTTTTGATTGAAAATATTATTGTTGCAAGAATTTCTTTTCTTACATCAAGAATCATTTTATTTCTCTTAACAAAATAAAAGGGCTTAAGCTTGCTTATTCATGGAATAAGGAATAGCCATAGGAAGCATGTAGTTACTTATTTATTTATAATAAACATTTATTTATGATGTAAGGAATATTCACGTGGCTTATCAAACAGGTAGTGTCATACGTCAGCTTGAAACTAAAGAACAAGAAAAGAAGAAATGTTTTCTTAAAAACTAGGAGTAGAACTTTGTCATCTGTGAAATCCTAAGAAGATTCTTATGCTGAGAGAGATTGATACCTATGTGAATTTTGCATCATAGCTAGTAGAGAATATTCATTTTTGTTTGTTTGTTTTGTCAGGGTTATGGGATATTTTTTCACCCTATGCTGTTTTTGAACATGTAAGATTCCAATTCAAGTAAAAGGTAAGGCAAAGTTGATATATGCTAGGGCAAAATCTCATGTCTATTAAAGAGACCAAGACTTTCATTTATGTTTTTAAAATAATAATAACATTTTCCCAATGATTACTCCAACTAGATTTTGAGGTCTTTGTGTCTAAAGGCATTTTGTCCACATCAGAATCTAAGAAGATGCAAGAAGAAATGTCACATGGCTTCCAAGCAAATCATGTTATAAATGTTTCTAAGCATATTTAAATATGTATGTTACCCTTGGCATCTGAAGTCAAGAAATGACCAGTTGGTTATAAGTCCATAAAATGAAAAAAACAAAGAGCTTCGAAAATGGCTTTGGTTTAGGAAAAGCACTTAATAATTGTCTCAGATTTAGAAATAATAAATACACTGTGGGGCAGAAGTAGGTTTACAGTTGTGAGTATGTGAAACGCAGTTTATTCTGGAATTATTTTTTGAGTATTGTATTATTTTCTATACGGAAAAACTGTAAACCTACTTTTGCCTCACCCTGTACATTTTTCACAGACTTAAAAATTCAAGCAAAGTAGTTAAAGAAAAATGGTAAGTAGTCATTGGAAAAGCAGTAAGTGAGGAGATTTCTAAAATCAAGAGGATGCAACCTGTGGTTGAACAACTTGTCGCGTATCAATGTGTTAACCTTATTTAAGTCAGAATTTGGACTTGATATTTTTCTCATTTTTTCAGATACGAGATCAGCAGCTTTGAGAGGTTTTTGCTGATCCTCATGGGACGTTCTGGTTCCCCTCTGATCTCTACCTCTTGCATCTACACAAGTTCTATTTTTAACGGGAGGAAGCAAGAGAGGCAGAGTTCTTTAAAATTAAGATTGAAACTCATTTAAGTTGGCATTTTCTCTTTTGAAAACACCTCCCATCTTAATGGCAATATCTGTGTGTGGCTCCCTTCACCCCCACCCCCCCAATCAGGGTTCATTCGTCACCCAGATATCTAGATATTAAGTCTAAGGAGGAATACCTGACTTGAAAACTTAACATTAGATATATTTTTTATCTGCTATACGGAAATAAACAGTTTCGTCTTACCTTCAGGTTTTTAAAGGGATCATTTTGAATTTTATGGATTAAGTTGTACCTAAGACAGAGTTCAGTCAAATTCAGGCAGAAGGTAAAGGTTTTATCAGACAGTTGAGATAGCTCATTGTGTTGAAGGTTCAAAACTTCCAGCAAGGGGAGTTTCTGGCACAATTCTGGCTCCAGTTTCGAGATGGTGTTGAATCCTCCATCCAAGACAGTAAGTTGGCTGTATCTTGTAAAATTGGCAGGTGGTAGTTTTCTGAGTTGATTGTGGGTCAGATTCAACACTGTTACGTTCGCCGGGAGGTCATCGGGTATTTGAGTCAATCTCAGGTGACTGCAGTCGGCGACCTCCTGCCGAACCGCACACCTGCTGGCGGAAGATGCGCACAGAAGCCAGAGGGGCAACAGGCCCAGACAGCAGGCGACAGGACGCAGGAGGCTCCGGCTCATGACTCTGCCCGTGAAAGAAACAGCAAGAAGCAAGAAGCAGCATTCATAACGCACGCTTTCATACGCATTGGTATATTCTTTGTAAAATATATAACAGAACGTGACTATGCATGATTTCTTTACCATAACTCTTATGATATACAGGTACGTATTATACAAGAAGGACATCATATGGAAATAATTCAAACCGCACAGAAAGTACAAACAAACTCCCTCTTCACACTTCACCTCCACCCCAGTGACTTCTTGACGGTGTCTATTTTTAGTTCTCATGGTCACCTAAATAATATGCTTGTGCTACGCTTTCTTCATTCACTGACTTTAAGTATTTTCTTCCCACCATAAAGAAAAGGAACTTAATTACACTATTTCATCATCGTCTTCGCAATTTTCCTTTAGTTATTTTTAATTTAATTTACTCTATCCTTACAATTTTAAAGACAATGCTTAAAACTCTATTGATCAACCAGCTTTAAACAAAAATCTCTTGACTCGTAATTTACCTTGTGATACAGGAAATGTTCACCCTTGTATTTTCTACACACTTCTTTCCTCCTTGCATTTCCTAAAACCATCGGCTATAACATTGCATGACATTGTCAAGATATAAAACATTAGCATTTATCCTAAAACTATAGTAAGTCAGACATACTTGGTCTAGATCAATTCATGAATTGTAAAGTTAATAGAGATCGTTTACAATTTTATGATATATAAATGAACATTCACTGCAGAATCAGTAAGACTTAGAGAAACACAGTCATTAAGAGAACAAACCCTGGAATTACACCCTCTGAGTTCTGAGACTGGATCTTCCACTTTGTAGCCTGTAGCAAGTTAATTCATTTCTCCGGCCTTCATTTTCTCGTCTTATAAGTAGAGAGAATTAGAGTAGCTCCTTCATAGGTAGTTATGAAGGTTAAAAGAGGTAAGTCTTGTGATATCTGGAACAAAGCAGTATTTAATGTTATTACTATTATTATTAATCAGTATAATAACCCATGATTTATAAAGTGATAATTATAACGATTTCCTATTTTGTAATTTTTTTACTTTATAAAGAAAACTCTATGCAAAAGGAAACATATCTCACGACAATCACAGCTCACCATCAAACAAGAAGGGAAAAGATGGAGCCGGGCATGTAAAATAATTGAAATTCCAGGAAATTCATGGATGGTTAGAAAGACTAGAGAAGCCCCTTCTGAACTCCATCCTGGGTTAGGTGGGGAACTTCAGACCCGGGATATGTTCACAGGCTGGGGAGCCAGCAGCATCTTGCCTGAACTACACATGACATTCATTTAAGGAGGCCCGAGTCCTTTAAAGGTGCTCAGTTTTTCAATGTCATTTTAAAGAATGAAAAGAAAGTCTTAGGTTAGGAGGCATCCGTAGGGCATTCTACCCTACTACTTGGTCTAAAGAGTGAAATTCATTAATTCAAGCACTGAATAATACACCATTCACAAAATTCAAGGTCTCTAAAAGTTTCGTGTGTGTCTTTAAATAGGGGAGATCTTTATTCTTCCTCTTCTAGGGCACACGGCTGGGGCTTCCCTATGTGGCTGTTGGGCAGGTGAGCCTCAGGGAAAGTGAGCAGTCCCCTGGGAGACAGCCAGGACCTACTGTGGCATTTCCCCGCCCCTTCCCCACCTCACCTAATTGCATTTCCCTGATGAGCGATGATACGGAGCAGTTTTCTTACGTGCTTGTTGTCCATTTGTATGTCTTCCCTATGTTCAAATAGTTCACTCATTTATACATTAAGTTGTTTCTTTTTAATGATTGTGTTATGGTTATTACTGTGTTTAATCATTAAAACCATGCTGTTTTAATTATTGTAGCTTTATAGTAAGCCTTGACGTCAGAAGCGTAAACCCTCCCGTGTTGTAACTCTTTTATTATATTGCTTATGCTATGCAATGGCTGATCGAAATTATCTAAAATAATTTTATTTATTATTTATTCAATTGTCCCTCCTTACTAAGATGTAAGCAGTAATAGGAGAGGACATGGTTGTTTTTATTCTATGCTGTGTCGCCTGTGCCTAGAAAGATGATTAGGACATAGCCGGTATTGAATAAATATATGTTGAATGAATAGCTTTCCCTGGGCAGTTAAAAATCGGCTCAAGAAAACCACTCTTTTCTCTACATATAGTTACAACCTTGTCTTGGTGGCATTTGTACCCAATGTGGTATTCTCTGGTATGATCATATACCTAGTCCCACTTTCAGATATTTTTTAAAAATCAAATGTATCTAAGTATATGGAGACGGATCAATAATAATGATATTTTAATAGATTTTCCGTAAGATCTAAAAGTTATGACACAAGAAGAATTCCAGATACATTTTAGAGTGTAAAATCCTTTTAGATGATTATTTTAGGAAAACAGAACTTATCTGAGTATTTAGAATTATTCTAATATGCCTTTTAAAAATAGTGGTCTTACTTTCATTCTAATCTAGTTCTTAGAAAAATGGGAAAATATCAACTTCTATAAATTCACATTCCCATCTTATGGCCTTTATAATACTGGCACTAGGTACACACAATTTTATGTACATGGGCTATGAGAAACACCACAGCCTAAGCCCCATACCAAATTGTTCAGGTTCGTGAAGAATGGGGGGCTGGAAATGATACATTCTGGAAATCGGGGACCAGCTCCCTGCCCCTCTCCTCCCAGCCCTAGAAGAGTACTGCTTCTGTTGCAAAAGCACAGGTACAGTTCCTGCAATATGTTCTGCTCTTTGTCTAGGTGACTTTTACCTTTTCTGGAAGGGCTATATAGATAGAGATAGAATTACGATTGTCCCTCGGTATCAGTGGATTGGCTCCAGGCCCCCCATGATACCAAAATCCACAGATGCTCAAGTCCCTTATAGAAAACGGCACAGTATTGGCATATAACCTATGGGCATCCTCCCATACGCTTTAAATCACCTGCGAGTTGCTGAAATACCTGAAATAATATAAATGCTATGGAAACAGCTGTTATACCGTATTGGTTAGGAAACAACAAGAAAAGAAAGTCTGTCCATGTTCAGCACAGATGCACCCATCATAAACCGAAGTACACAGAACAGGTCAGCAACAATGGGACATTTTTTCCCTAAAATTTTTGGTCTGCGGTTGGTTGAATCCACAGATGCAGAACCTGTGGCTACCAAGGGCCGACTGCACCGAGAGGAACAAATCCACTTAGAAAGCACGTCCCTGAAGGACCGAAGGACTCCCGGGCCTGAAGCTACACCCACCAGGTGAGAAAGGCTCCGGTGCCAGGCGGGATGAGTGACACAGGGAAGAGGCCCAGAGAGGAACTTACGAAACGGCAGAATTGTGGCCATTCACGCACACGCGCGCGCTCTAAAACCTCAGAAAAGCTTATCATCAGCTTTTCCAAAGGAAAGATCCTGGGTGATATGAAATGTTTCATCAGCCGCAAGGAAAAAAAACAGATAAGCTTTCAAAATGTTCAGGAGGAATTATTTTGAACCTAAAATTTCATTTCCAGCTGAACAATTAAAGATAAGGAAGGGTATTTTGAGATATGTGAGATTCAGTAAATCTGTAACGACGTACCCCACATGAAAATGGTATTCTAGAGTGTGCTTCAGTCAAACCAGCAAACAAAAATACAGTTAGACGATGAAGCGAGAGCCAGGAATAAATTGCTGTTAAAGGAGACATAATAGGAACAAAGAAAGTTAAAAAAAAACCAGAAACTACATTTCTTTGGCGAAACCGGCACCAGCATTGCACAACAGTGAGGGTGTAGGGCCCAGAGCCAGGCTGCTTAGAGCTACCACCAGCCACAGTTTGGCTTGTCCAGTTTGGTTTGTAAACTTTACACGTCTTTCCCTAAATTTATACAGATGCACTGCAGGCAGACACGAACCGGCTCAAAACCACACTGTAAAGCTGGGAGGCCGCTCCTGCAACTAGGCGTAGCCAAGGCTGACCCCGTTTCCATTCCCCTTGACCCACAGCCGCCCATGCTAATCCCTGATCCTCTCACACGCCTTCATCCGTTTTCTTTGATTAGGCCAAAGAAAGCCAGGCTCTCACTCCCAGGAGCTGCCAAAGAGATTCTCGTTGTCAAGCACATTGCCAGGAAAAGCCAGCTCCTGTCTCCTCCCAGCCAGGAAGGCTGAGACAGGGAGACCAGCTCCTTTAAGCTCACAGGGCTTTGTATCTTTAAAACAAAGTTGTGATTCTTTTTAAGGCTGTTGCAAAGGATTTCTGTGACTACTCTAATGTACTAGTCCAGGTACAGAACTCTCTAAAGGAAACAAACGTTTTTAAAACTCCTGCAGAAAGTGTTTTATCCTGTTACTTAGAACTTGTTGCTGTTATTTGTACTCTGAGCTTTGGTAGACTTTCCCACCTACAGCTCCGGCCATTGCTTTCATGTGCCTAGGTGAGTGATCCGGCCAGATTCCAAGCACCAGAGCAAAGAAAGAGCAAAGAATGCTGAAACCATCGAGCATTCTAGCTTCACCCAACCTGAGAGATCCTATCCCAAGAGGAGTTTAAAATCTATACCTTCGCATACTCTGAGGAGAGCTGATCGTTCCCGTTGTCATCCGTCCAAATCCAGCCACGTTTATCGAGGACATACGGCAAGCTGGCTGCAAACCGGAAAGTGAAACTGAAGTTCAAAAAAACCAAAAAAACCGCCTTGGATAGCACTCGAAGGAGGGCCGAGGAAACAAAATCCAGCCTCAGCACTCAGAGGCCTTTTAAACGGCTTCTTCAGAACATCTTTTTTTCTTCTCCAGGTGCAGTCCCCTGGGTTTCACTGAAAGAGGCGTAGATTTAGCAAGAGAGGAAGTTGAAAGAGGCGGCCTTCAAGGCTCGGTGTGGGCAGGGCCACACTCAGAAGTTAATGAGTACCTAACTGAGAGTGAATTCCTCTGTTATTACCTGGGGCTGATGCAAAACTGGCAGAACTGAACGGTGTGTGGTCAGAGGGCCAGAAATTAAAAACCTTAGTTCCTTATCAAAACCAATTACTTCCATTTCTCTGATCTGATTTTCTTTTCTTGGCAGCACTATAAGAGAAGTAAGCGCAGAAACTAACCCTTTGATGGGAGAAGAGACCGAGTTTCACAACAGAGAAGGATCTGGTGGGGGAGAGCCTGCTGGGAACGCAGAGGTGTGCCCGGAGACAGTTCAGGTTCACCGTCAGTCTTCCATTCGCTTTACTGACTCCAACTAGTTAAAAGAATGTGTTTGTCAAGACATGAACACGTTTTTTATTGTCTGATATAATATTATAGCTATATAAATATTATAGTGAAATATAACAGGTGGCAGGGACTGTAGCAATCACCTAATCCAACTCCTTAGTCTGAAAAATGAAATGAAACCTCGTGTGGTGAGAGTTGCCTAACGACACACCACCAGCTGCCATAACGCGTTACGCTGTCCAGTAGAGTAATGAACAGCCCGGGACACTGAAACGTGTCACTGGCTTGACTTGGCTGCAGAATTAAGAGCAAGAAATAAACTTGTGCCAGGGTGTAAAAGGCCCCCTCCTGGGCCCCAGACTTAGCCATTGGGTATATTAAAGGGTCAATATTGTGCATAGGTTTAATGTAGAGCGACTCTCAAGAATTTTGGAAATAAACCTTTATCAATGGGAACACGGAGATCAGAACAACCAATCCTCCCAGTGTTAGCAGGAAGCCCAGGTAAGACTATATCTTTTCATCATTAAAACGTCTCATGGGTTTATAACGTGATGAGAATATTATAAACCTAGATAGTTAAATTTACTGCAGAGCATTTAGATAAACAGTGCTCACGGGTCTCCCTTCATAGGCACTACTCAGAAAGGACATTGTCTTGCTCTGTAGCATCTGAAATTCTATAAGGCATTTCTTTTTTCTTTCTGAACTCTTTCTCTGAAGTAAAGGTACACAGTTTCTCACACCTGTGTTATTTACAGGCGGTTTAAATTAAACCCAATAAACCCACAAACTCAGCAAGAACATTAACGAGAGAGGAAATAATACAATGATGCCCTTTCTATTACTCTCACTTAGTCTACAGAGCAAGACTGAACATGAACTTCCCCTCTGAAAAAGAAATCAACATTTAACACACAGAGTGTCTGATTTAATCTGAACTTTTGTTTATCTTTTAATTTTTTGGTAATTTTACAAGGTAGTTGAAAAGTGGTGATAACTTTCTAAGTCAATCTGTGAAGTGGGTTAGTGTGAATATTGACATTCTCATGATACGTCTAATGGCTCTTCAAACCCTATGCCTTGAATTTGGTACTTATTTATTAAAATAAAAAATAAAATTATAGACCCAACCTCCCAAGGAAGTTCAAAGTATCAAAAGCAACTACAGCTTTCTCCTACCATTGGAAAATAGAATGCTCCTTTGAAACCTTTCATAAACCAAAATGGCATAAAGAGAAGAAGAAATCATCATTAATTTAATATGGAAAAAGTTCCCAGACCCAAACCATAACCTACCAAATCATACCAAATAACACCTAAAATCCACAATAACACTAACATATAGTAAAAGCAGGAAGCATGTAATAAATACACAACCTGCATAAAGTAGAAATAATGTAGGTACAGTGTTCTTTTACTTATTAAAAAGACAGATCAATTTCTCTTTAGTATAAGAGAACTTAATGGAACCTCATGCTTTGTACACCCATCAATCCACTTAATCAATAGACTTTTCATTTTATCCACTACTGGATGCCAAATAAAAGAGACCACTTTACTATTAGCAGAACCAATAGTCATTTTGGCAGCTTTCAAGATTTTTTTTTCCTCTGGACATAGACACGTTCAGCACACATACAATGCCTTTATTTTGTTCACCATGATTGGTCACTTAATTACATCCAGGTTTACACGAAGTGTGACACCCTTACAAACTCTTACGCTTTTCTGATACCTAAGGACAGGTCTTGCTAATGGAAGCACAAAATAAATTTAGATAAAGCACAGATGCTCACAGACACAGCTCAGAGCTGGCGCAGCTTGATACTGAGATGCTGAGGGCAGTTCTCAAGTAAGGAGCTTTAAGGGGCCACTCTCACTGCTTGGGGTGAATGCTGTCTCTGTAATGACTGCTGCAAAACAGAAGCTGAATGCTATTTTTTACTTTTCACCTTTTATCATAAAAGTGAAAGTCCTCTTCAGATTTCTTACACTTAGAGAAAACAAGTACTAATACAGGCCATTCATAAAAGCAAAGCAGCTTAATGCAAACTTTCAAAAAACAAGGCAATACCTGTAATAACGTACCTTAATGATATGGAACTGGTCATTGGTGAGAATTAATGCTTATGAAGATTGATCTCCATTGTATAATGCAAATTCTGAATCAACCAGAGAAGTTCAAAAGAAGGCCCAGGTTGGAAAGGTTGGGTCATTGATTTCAGTACATTTCTTATCGCCTAAGAGGAAGCTTTGTCTGTATCATGGGATGATTTATAATAAGAATACGAGAACCGTCCTTAAAAAGTGAGAAGTAAAAGTGGAAGGAGTGTGGGGAGGGGGAAGTTTCACTATGAAAAGGATTTGGAGATAAAATATATAAACCTGACAAAATTCAGAAAGCTCCAATATAGAGTTTACAGTCCCTATAAAATGCTTATTTTTAATTTTATGTAGAAAAGGCCTATATAAAAGTTGAATGTACACTTTAACATCATCAAAAAATGCTTATATTTCTTTTTTTTACCTGTTTCTGTTATTTGTCCAAATTTCTACTTGGTTTGTATATTTTTATTATTGATTTGTAAGAGCTTTTTGGACTATTATGGAAATTAACTTTGACCTAAATATATTGCAAATTTTTTTTTGCCTGATATGTTGTTTGCATTTGATTTTTTTTAAGTGATTGTTTTAACTACACAAAAGTTCCTCAAGGGAATGATATCAGTAAATCAGCAGACTAGGAAGCTTCAAGGCCTTGTTCCACAAAATATCAAAAACCAAGAAACTAGCTGAACCAGTCTTATAGTAGCTCTGGAAAATAGCCAAAGACCTACAGTAACCAAGTGAATGCCCTGTGAAGAAAAATTTACCGTAAAAAAAATGTAGAAAATTAGGAAACTATTGGGAAACTTCATGGCATTTTAATTACTTTTTCCCTACCCCCTCTTCAGCTCAGCACAGTCATCATTTGGAAGACACAGCAGCCCTATTCCTAGTTATCTCCTTTGAACTGAAGATTGCAGAGTAGATTGTATTGGCCACATTTTAACCTACCTGGGGGCTTCCTAAAAAACTGGCCTTCGTCTCATTGAACTTAGATCTCAGGCTAAGGGAAAAGCAGCAGGCACTGCATGTGAAAGCTCCAAGAAGACCATATACACACAGACACCTGGGACAAAAAGAGATGATAGGTGAGGACATACAGTAGGACATCTAAGGCCCTGAAGAGAAGCTGGAATGAGACTCTTTGGGATAGTAAGACATTTGAAAACAGCCATGTATATGGGGGAATTGAGAAAGCCACATACAACCCCAGGCTAGAGGCATTCTTAGAAAAGACCTGAGAGGCCCTTAAGCTTCCACCTCAGGCTGATCCCTAAGCTCAGAATATACCCAGCCAGTCAGTGAAGCACTAATTCAGCACAGAGCCAGTTTGCAAGACTGGAGAGAGGTGGCTATTTTTTTTCAAATGCCCAATTTTTGACAAAAAATTATAAGACATACAAAAAAGAAAAGGAAAACATGTCTGTTCAGAGGAACAATATAAATCTTCAGGTTCTGTCCTTGACATTGGATTTACTAGACAAAGACTTTAAAAGAGCTTTCTTAAATATTCTCAGAGTTAAGCAAAAGCACAAAGGACTAAAAGAAACCAGGTAAATGATAAATGGACAAAACGAGAATATCAGCAGAAAGATAGAAATTGTAAGAAGGAACCAAGCAGAAATTTGGAAACTAAAAAATACAACCGAATTGAAATTTTTACTAGATGGGTTTAGCATGAAATTTGAGGAGGCAGAAGAAAGAATCAATGAATTTAAAGACAAAACAATTGAAATTATTGAGTCTGAGGGGAAAAAAAACAAAAAAAATTTAAAAATGAACAGAGCTTAAGAGACTTGTGGGGCTCTATGAAACAGATTAATATATGCATTGTGGAAGTTCCAGAAAGAGAAAGAGAGAAAGGGGCAGAAACATTATTTAAATAATGGTCAAAATGTTCCCAAATTTGATAAAATATATGAATCTGCAAACCCAAGAAGTTCAGTGAATTGCAAGTAGGATAAACCCCCCAAAATTATATTGGACCCTTCTCTTATATTATATACAAAAATTAACTCAGAGTGGATCAAAGACTTAAACATAAGAGCTAAAATATATAACTCTTAGAAGAAAATATAGGGGAAAAGCTTCATAATATTGGATTTGGCAATGATTTCTTGCAAATGGTACCAAAACACAGGCAACCAAGAAAAAATAAATAAATTGAAAGTTATCAAAATTAAAATTTTTGTGCATCAAAGAACACTATCAAGAAATAAAAGGAAACCCACAGAATGGGAGAAAAATATTTGCAAAATATCTGATAAGGGATTAATAACCAAAATATATTAAAAACTACAATTCAACAACAATGAAACAAAAAAAACCTAATTAAGAAAATAGGCAAAAATGACTACTGATAGTCATTTTTCCAAAAAATATATACAAATGGCCAATAAGTGAGTTCAT